AAAAAAAAAAAATACTTCACAAGGGTGAACATACTATTCACCAGATGATGCAAATGTAAAGCACAAATTACTGCCTGAAAGGATGGTTAAAATGAAGACCACACCAAGTGATCGGGGAGAAACAAAAATGGAAATTGTTACCTGATGCACCTTCACTCCTAGCCATGACTTCCCTCTGTCAGACTGGGACAAAACGACCCGGATCTCCCCTGGGCCCCCCTTCCCCCGCCCAGGAGCACTCCCGTGCTAGAATCTCATGCTTGGCAACGCCCCACCCTGACCTGTGTCCTCGTCACACTAGCTTCAGCCAGGTCTAAAGGGCCCTTCCCGGAGGCCTTGTTGGGGCGCGGGCCCCAGGAGCCCGCCCTTTCCTGCCCGCCTGCCGGCCCTGGCTCTGGGGGACACGGGCGAGACCCATGTCCGGGCACTCTCGGCCACTCTCTCATTTCTTCCCTTCTCCCCAGACCTGGGAACGCTGGTCTCAGAGGTTCTCCTTATGTGTGCTGGGGACAGGGGCGGGAGGGGGGGGTGTGAAATCTTGAAGTGTTATTAGGAACATTCACTCTCTGAGCTAACGTGGGCATGGGTGTGTGATCCATCGCCCCTCAGCCGGAGCTTCCCAGAGCCCCTGTGGAGGCTCACAGGCAGCCTGGCCCAGCACCTTGGGGTGCCGGCTCGTGGGGGCAGCCCCCCTCAGGTTTCCTTCCTCTGGGCTTTGCACCCACCTGCTGGCCACTGGCATAGCTGCCCCTCCAAAGTCCAGGCCAAGCTCGGATCAACCCTCCTTTCCTCGATTCTCCCCAGCACAGCAAGATGACGTAGAATGTTCACGACTTGCACAAACGGTGATGGTGCACGCCCCCGCCCCACGTCAAGTCGCTACTTGCAGGCTTCCACCTAGCAGATGCGAGTGTGGGCAACCGCTCCTCACCCCAGGGCCGGCGGTTTGGCCAGGTCTCACCCCGCCTCTGCCCTCGGCCTCGGCTGCAGGGCCTGCTCGGTCACCAGCAGACCTTTGCCCGTAGCTCCGCGTCCTGGGTGTGTCCTACAGCCCCCGGGACGGCCAAGCTGGCGCTCCCAAGATGGTTCCGATCCCCTTCTGTGGGGGGCCTGCTGCCTGCGCAGCTCCGCTGCCCCTCGCCGGGACCAGCTTCCGGCCTGGGACTCTCGGATGATTAAGCCCCTGCCAGGGAGGTGTTGGTGGCCCAGAGGGGACCCGAGAGCCCGGAGCGCGATGGCACTGAGATGGGGGTGCAGGAGGACCGCAATAGGAGCCCCAGCGGGGCTTCCGGGGTCAGCGCTGGAGCTGAGCCGCCAGAGGCCTTTGGGGCTGGCCAGCAAGGGGGTCAGGAGAGGTCTGCTGCGCCCTGTGGGTCACTCCCTGGCTGGGGGTTGAACTCGGACCTCCACGGTGATGGAGTCGAGACTTCACCCCTCGCGCCACCGGGGTCTGGACACTCTTACGTAGACGGTCCATTCGGTGGTGTCCATTACACTCATAGTGTTGTGCCACCATCACCCACTGTTTCTAGAACCTTTTTAGCACCCTACACAGAAACTGTCCACCCATTAAACAGTAGCTGCCCGGCCCAGCGCCAGCCCTGGCAGCCGGGACCCTGCCGCTTGCCTGTGCCGGGCATCTCATGGGCATGGAGCTCGCCGCTGCTTACTGCCGGCTGGCTTCGCTGAGCACCATGTCGTCCAGGCGCCCGAGCCTCGTCGCCTGTCAGAATGGCCCGCCGTCCTTTTCATTTATTTTTTAAAGATTCATTTATTTACGTATACAGAACTGGGGTGCAGGCCAGAGGTGCAGGGGGTGAGAGGCTTCACCAGAGACAGAGCGGGGAGCAGAACAGGCAGATCGACAAAGCTCACTGCTGAGGGGAGCAGCGGGTGGGTCAGGAGAGGTCTGCCACGCCCTGTGGGTCCCTCCCTGGCCGGAGATCAAACTGACACTGAAGTGGCTGTGGCTAGCTTCACAGGGCTGCTCTTTAACCTGTTGCCCCACCGGGGAGGGCCCTGCGTCTTGACCCCAAGCCTGTCCAGACTCGAAAGCCAACAGCAACAACAGTGCTCGGAGTGGGGTCATCAGGGAAGGCTCCCTGGAGGAGGGGGGCTTTGGCTGTGCGTCGAGGGACTCAGGACGCCCTTGATAGAGCATAAAATAGATGCTGGCTGCTACTGTTACTGTGGTGGTGGTGGCGGGGTTTTGTTGCAAATTTAATTTGCAGAAACTCCTCTAACTAGTAGCTGAAAGCCCAGAGCATGGCCTGGTCTAGCTCCAGGCCTCCCCACGCCCCCCACCTTCCTGACCGCTCCACGGCTCCTCTCCCCAGATGTGCTGAAATGATCATCAGCATGGACAGCAATCAGATCCACAGCAAAGACCCTCACTACGGAGCCAGCCCCCTCCACTGGGCCAAGACTGCTGAGGTAGGCGGGGCCCGGTGGGGGTGGCCCAGTGTCCTTTGTTAGCAGCTTCCTGCAGGAAGGAGGTTGCCGAGAGGCCTCTGGGGTGGCACTTGTGTCGTGTGCGCCATGCAGAGAGGCCGGAGAGAGGTGACTTCCTGGCCTGGCTCTGCCACTCGCTGGCAGGGTGGCCGGGGCCCTGGCCGGCTGGTGGGTGAGCAGGGGTGCCAGCCAGGGGCACGGGGAGGACACCTCTCCGCAAGGGCACGGGGCCCTGCGAACTCCAGGAAGGAGCCCCTGAAACACTCACACGCCTTTAGCCTCAGCCCCTTCGTTCGTGGGGTGCCGGTGGTGTGGCGCCACGGTCTAGGGCCGCCCCGAGAAATGGGGCCTGCTGCCTGGACTCCTCCCGTGGCTAGAACTGTCCAGAAGCCGAAGCCCTCTGAGGGCCAATGAGGCGGCACCCAGGTGCCGCCAGCTGGCCGCAGGCCTCACCGTCCCCGCAGATGGCCCGCGTGCTGCTGAGGCGTGGCTGCGACGTGAACAGCACCAGCTCCGCGGGGAACACCGCCCTGCACGTGGCCGTGATGCGCAACCGCCTCGAGTGCGTCATGGTGCTGCTCACCCACGGGGCCAGGGCCGACGCCCGCGGGGAGCACGGCAACACCCCGCTGCACCTGGCCATGTCGGTGAGCCCCACGCCCCCCCGGCCACGCCCGGCCGCTGCCGTGTGATGGCACACGGAGGACGCACACTCAGCTGTGCCCACGCTCGAGGCAGCTGGGCACTCGGTCTGTCCTGGGCAACCAGGCCGTGCCCGCCCCTGTCCGGACCCAGAGGCCGGCTCGCGCCCGCTCCACACGGTCTGGTCCGCCAGGGCCGTCCTCAGGGCGCCGCGGCCCCCTCACCCACAGACTGGCCCCGGACTAGGGGGCCTTCCCCGCCCGGGTCGCCCTCGCCTGCTGCTCCCGAAAGCGACCAGCCGCTGACCCCCCAGTACCCCAGGGCTGCGGGGGGGCAGCAGGGGGCGCATCAGAGAGGCTTCCTTCAGGGAGGAGCTGGTGGGTCACTTCAGATCCTCCCCGGGCTATGAAACCTCCCTGCGGATGCTTTTAAATGTGTCCATTAGGGAACCAGCCTTGACTCTGCAGACTTTGGGGACTGAAAGGGGATGGGGGATCAGAAGGGTGCCAGGTCTGAAGAGGGGCCCTGAGTGGCGGGCAGGTGGGGGGGCCCTTTTGTCTTCGTTTCCTGAGCTGTTGTCATTCCATCCTCAACAGAAAGACAATGTGGAGATGGTCAAGGCCCTCATTGTGTTCGGAGCAGAAGTGGACACCCCAAATGACTTTGGGGAGACTCCCGTCACCATAGCCTCCAAGATTAGCAAGCGTGCGTGCTCTGCGCCCGGGGCCAGAGTGGGCGGGAGCGGTGGGCTGCAGGGCAGTGGGGGGCCAGGCCTTCAGCCCCCAGCACCCTGGCTGCCCCTCTGCAATCCGCCAGCCCCCCAGGATGCTCTCACGGTGGCCGAACGCCTCTGGGGGGCTCCCGGGAAGCCTCCTCATCCCAAACACAGAGGCCCTGCTGCGTGGAAGCCCAGCGGGGGACAGCGAGCCAGGGCTCTCCTCCTCTCTGCAACCCCCGTCCCATCTCAGGGCGCAGGGTCCTGCGGGGTCACACGCGGGCAGCAGCAGCAGCTCTGGGGTCCGCTTGCAAGAACGACCAGAGGCGCCCCGCAGCACGGCGCAGCCTGCAGCACCCCGCCGCTCCCTGGGCCTTGCTTCAGGCTGCAGAAAGCGCCTCCCGCCCGGAGCCCCGGAGCCCCCCGGAGGGTTGCGGGCAGCTGTGGAGGTGTCTGTGACAGCGGTGTGCGCCTGTGGCACCCTCCTCAGGTACCCCGTCCTGCAGATAGGCCAGGTGACCCCCGGCTGGCTGGTGAGTCCTTGAGGCTCTGAAAGAGGCTCCAGGTAGCACTTCTGAGAATTGCTCACTCAGGCTGGCAACACCCCCTCCCTTACCACCCCCCACCCCGGGCTCCCGGGGCCCAGCGCCCGCCTGGGTTGGGGCAGCCACAGCCTGGAGTCACGGGCCTTGTCAGGGTGGGGCAGGCCTCTGAGGTGCCCGGGCCCCCCCACCCAGGCGGCCTGGGCAGGGGAGAGAGGACAGTGGAAAGGAGGGGCAGCCCCGACCTGAGCCGTCTCCCCTCCCCGCCTGAAGTGGTCACCAGGCGGGCGCTCTTGACTCTGCTGAGAACCATAGGGGCCGACCACCGCCCCGCGGCCCCCTCCGACCAGGGCGCCACCACAGCACAGCATTCCTTCTCCCTGGAGCGAGCTCCGCCCCTGCCGGTCAGCCTGAGCAGCCTAGGTAGGCCCTCCCGCCCCCCCAGCGGGTCCCCAGGTGCCAGGGCCCGCAGCCCCGTCGGGAGGACGCAGCAGCGTGGAGGCTGTGGCGGGAGCCAGGGAGAAGCGGAGGCCGGCGGGGCCGGCTGGTGGCACAGGCCGCGGCCCTGGGGGCGCCCTGGGCGTGGGCTCCGCCCTGTCAGGCCGGCAAGCCATGGCCGCCTCAGTGCCCTGGGGGCACCAGGTGGGCAGTGGGTGCCGTGGGGACCCGGAGCCCCGACCCTCTGCCTTCAGCCAAGAGTCTGTGCACTGCTGCCAGGCCCACGCGTCCCTTCTGCCCCTCAAGGGGCCACAGGCTTTCGAACTTGGCACGCAGCCGGCCTCTGCCTGGTGCCTCTCTGGTGCCCACGGCGACAGCCCCAAGGGCTTTCTGAGGCCAGCGTGCTTGGCATGGTCCCCTGACCAGGCTGTCGGAAGCGATCCTCGGCAAGCGTCACTGCTGGGCCCAGCGCCCCTCCAGCAGGACAGCCACCCAGCTCAGGAGTGCCCGGCACGCCCCCCCCCGGCCCCCCGCGAGTCCTGCCCCGCCCCCATCTCTCAGTTTTGCAGGCAGTCAGCCCCCGCCGGGCTGGATGGTGGGCCCGGGCGAAGCATGAGGTGGTAGCGCACTGGGCCTAGGGGCGCAGAGCCCAGTGCTAACCCGGCTGAGCTGGGACCAGCCTGCTCTCCTCCTCCCTCTCGGCCAAGTCCAGACACACGCACCGGCCTGCACTGGCCCTGCCTCTCCGCCAGCCTCCCGCTGCCCCTGCCCGCTGTCTGTACACCGGCCTGGGGTGGGGCGACCCTCCGTCCGCACTGCAGCCTCCTGCTTTGCTGCTTCTAGCCACGCCGGGGTGGGGGGGCTCGGGCCTCGGAGCGGGCGCCTGGGCATGGGGCCGGACTTCTGGGGTGTGCTGCCTGCTGGGGACGGCAGTAAGGGGGGGCGGGGGGCCCAGGTGGCCTTGGCAGGTGGGAACAGGGGCAGCTGAAGAGTGCCTGGGCGTGCGCCTAAGGCCCGAGTGACATCCCGGAGCATCCTGGCTTGCCCTTTCGCTGACCAGCCTTGACTGAGCCCCGTGATCTGTAACGCAGCAGCTCCGCATGGTCCCTGCATGAGCCGAGCTCAGCGCACTGCGTGTCGGGGTGCTGTTCTCTGAGCTTTGGGAACAAGACGCAGGGGAAGGTCGGGGGCTGGCTGGGCAGGAGTGGGGGTCCTTCCGAGAGCAATGAGCTCCCCCCTAACTCCAGTCTGCCCCCGAGGGGCGCAGGGTCCTGGCTCAGCTGCACCTGGAGACCAGGAATCCTGGCTCCGCCAGCGGCAGTGGGTGAGGGCACAGCTCCAGACGGGCTCTTAGGACCAGCGGGGGCGCGGCTGCCTGGCCCCGGCCCACCCGCCTGTGCCTTGCAGAGCTGCAGGACATCGTGCACATCTCCCGGGCGCGGAAGCCGGCCTTCATCCTGAGCTCCATGCGGGACGAGAAGCGCGCGTAAGCGGAGGGGCGGGGTGCCCCCAGACAGGCTCTGCCCAGTCTGGCCAGCTGCGACGTGGCTCCAGGGGCTCAGAAAGAAGTGGCCGAGCCTAGGGCCTGGCCCGGCCCCTCTGGGCCACGCACGCGGCCTGTCATCCGTCCCCTGCCCTGACTTGGGGGGGCGGGGGTTGCCCACCTCTCCCTGGAGAGGGCCCTCGCCTGCTGCCAGGCTGAACCCGCTGACCTGCACTGCACCCCACGCCGACCCTCTTCCCTCCCCAGAGTACCGGGGTGTGCAGGTTCCCACATACTGCGGTAGCCCAGGCCCCTGCTCGGGGGCAGCCTGGGTGATGAGCGCAGAGGAGGGAGCCCCAGCCCCATCCCGGAGGCCAGTCCCGGTGCCCAGCACCAGTGCCAGCCAGCAGGGCAGATGTGCTTCCCAGGGCCTCACTCCCCCTCGCTCTCTTCCCACTTGCTCTCTGATGGTCAGAGAGCCTCTTAGGAAGGTTCTAGTAACTTTGTCTTCCAAGCGCTGACCCTGAGTGCTGGGGGGCGACTCCACAGTCACACAGAATGTCTCCGCCGTGCCCAGTGCCGGCCCTGCAGGGACAGCCGTGCCAGGCCGCCGCAGGCCCGAGCCCTGCCTCTCCTCGCCTGAGCACGGCTTCCTCTTGGCTGCTCACGCGTGCAGCCACCCCCTGGCGTGCGCCTGGGGACGTCCCTCCCCCGCCCCGCAGAGCACATGCACCCTCACACCCCACGTGCGCACCTGTGCAGGGGCTGGCAGGCCGCGGGGCTGCACCAGAGGGTGAAGAGTCCCGCCGGCAAGAGGAAAGGCAGCTTCTCAGGGGAGCAGGGTGTCGCGGGGGGCCCTCCCTGGAGGCGGCCGGCTGTCCGGACCACGTGTGGCCATCTGCGGCGGGCTGTGAAGCCATCCGCTCAGCGCTGCACAGAGCAGAGCCGCAACCCCCCGCCCCCGGGAACCTCCAGCCCAGTGGGGGGACAGACAGTCAACAGGTGCCCCGGGGGGGGGGGGGGCCGGAGCAGGCCCTGGGTCCTGAGGCTGCCGGGCCGGCGGTTTGCTGCTGAGATGGAGGACGGGCCCGGAAGGAGGGTTCCGGCCTGAGAGCTGGGCCTGCCGGACCTAGGCCAGGGCTTGGGGGAGCAGGTGGGTCAGGAGTCGGCCGCCCGAGGCAGCAGCGTGCGAGTCGGGGTCACAGGCCTCTGCGCTCATGCCTTGGGGTGTGCACGGGAATTCTTCCTGGAGGGCTGGGGAGTGGAAGTGAGTTCTTGCCAGCCGAACGCCCCTAGGCTTGGGCTGAACCTTGTCGCAGGGCTGCTGAGCCCGGTGGTCGGTGTGGGCTGGGGCCAGCACTCAGGCCCGCCTTCCCCTGCTGTGTCCCACGCAGCCACGACCACCTGCTCTGCCTGGACGGCGGGGGCGTGAAAGGCCTGGTCATCATCCAGCTCCTCATCGCCATTGAGAAGGCCTCGGGCATCCCCACCAAGGACCTCTTCGACTGGGTGGCCGGGACCAGCACGGGGGGCATCCTGGCTCTGGCCATTCTCCACGGTGAGTGGGGACCGCCCCCAGGCGTGGCTCCGGGTGGCGGGTGGCACCTGCCCTCACAGGGGCCTGAGTCGGTTTCCCCAGCTTTTCAGAGGGCCCGGCCGGAGCGGGCTGCAAGCGCCCCAGGTCAGAGGCTGCAGGAAGTGCGGCGGTGGGTGGCCCGGACACAGCTGACCGCTGTCAGTGAAGGCAGCCCCGTGCACTGGGCCGCGCCATCCTCCCCACACCCCTAAACCTGCTGGAAAAGAGGAAGGCGCTTTCAGCATGGTGGGCGGAGAGTCAGCGGGGGCCAGTGCCCTCGTCTGCCCGTGTCATTTTACCCGTGGAAGTGACAGCCTCAGGGAGGGCGGCCGGCCCCGCGCCGGTGGGCTAGGACGGCCGGCACCTCCCAGGCCGCCTGCCCGCTGCCGTCACTGGGCGGCCTTGAAGCCCACAGAGCGCTTCCCTCGCTGGCTCCCCCGCGCTGGACTTCAGTGGACCTCTAGGGAGGTCTCCGGGCTGTGAGAGACCGTGAGGGCCCCTCCCGGGCCGGGGCCCTGCTGCCCCCGGGGGGCGGGAGCTCGGCCTCATGCCTCCAACCAGCAGCCCTGCCCACCGCTGGTCCGGCTCCACGCGGAGGCCTCAGACCTGCAGGCCTCCTGAGGGGAGCCCTGGGCTCAGGGCCCTCGGGCCAGGCCTGGCCTGGGCAGTGCAGGGGGCGCAGGGCCACAGGGCACCGCCAGCCCAGAGGGCAGCCGAGAGCCACTGGCCAGGACCGTGTGGCCCTAGTATCGACAGCTCACCGCCTGGTGCCTCCCGGGCATTCTCTCCTCAGCTGGTGAGGTTGCAGAGGGGAAATGACGGCCAGAGAGGCCCACCCAGGGGTCAGGGAAGAGCGAGCACTCCTCCTCAGGACTCGCGCCCCCATGGCCCCAGGGCCTGGAGCGCCCGTGGGGCGCTGCCGCCTGGGCGGGCCCAGCTCTGGCTCCTGCGCCCGCCCGGGGTCCCTGGCATCTCCCCACCTCCCTGCTCCCCTGTCCCCAGGCAAGTCCATGGCCTACATGCGCGGGGTGTACTTTCGCATGAAGGACGAGGTGTTCCGAGGCTCGCGGCCCTACGAGTCGGGGCCCCTGGAGGAGTTCCTGAAGCGGGAGTTCGGAGAGCACACCAAGATGACGGATGTCAAGAAGCCCAAGTACGCTCCACTCCGGGGCAGGCGCCCAGGGGCCCCTCGGCGTCCCGGGGGCTGGAGGGCTCCGCGCCCTTGTGGGTGAAGGCTGCGGCGGGTGGGGGGCCCTCCTGGAGAAGCGGAAGCCCTCCCCGAGGCTGACGCCCCCACCCGCACAGCATGCCCAGGCCTGGAGGGTCAGTGTGCGCCGAGGGGCGTGCGTGGGGGCGGGGTGTGGGCAGCTGGCGCCGCTTCCGCTCGGGGTGGAGGCCAGCGAGGTGAAGGGGTGCACACTCGCGTGTGTCTGGGTTCCCGGAAGAGCCGACAGCGCGGCCCGCTCTGGGGTTCCCACCCCGAGGCGGTGTGGCCGGCCAAGGCTGCCGCCGCCCCTGGGAGCTCCAGCGGCTGCAGGTGTGGGCCCAGGGCCTAGCACGGTGCCTGCACGGGGCAGGCCTGCCGGACTCCATCAGCCAGAGGGAGGGAGGCCTGGGGGTAGGTGGTCAGGGAGGACTGCCTGGAGGCAGTGAAGCGTGGGGGCGGCCTCGGAGGTTGGAGGCCTGTATTCATAAAAAGGCTTTCTTTAAACCCTTTCCCCTGGCCACACCGCTCCACCTGTGCCCCATCGGCCTCCCTCTCCCACACCTTCGACACTTTCCCACACTTTTTGCCATGTCCAAATTTTTATTCCTTCAGTTGTTTGCATGTAATTGTTATTTTTTGAAATTTACATTCCACAGATGAGTGAAACGATCCGAAATCTGTCTTTCACTTTTGGCTGATTTTACCCAACATAATTACCTTAAGGTCCGTCCATTTTGTCCCAAAGGCCACCGTTTCACCTTTCTTCACAGCTGTGTAATATTCCACTGAGTATCTGCTCCATGGCTTCTCCAGTCATCTGTTGAAGGGCTCTTGGGCTGGTGCCATGATTTGGCAATTGTAAAGAGTGCTGTGGTGTACATAGGTAGATCTTACCATATTAGATTTTCCATGTTCTATTCATAAGCTACTTTTGATAAATGGCTAATAGCAGTGTTGTTGGGTCATGTGGGATTTCCATTTTTGTCCCCCGATCATGGATTATTGGGAGACATAACAGTCAGGGTCTCAAGGTGGGGTTGGGGAGTGGAGATTCCTAAAAAAGGGGGAGAAGGAGAAAAAGGGGAAAGGGGAGCGAGAAAAACACGGGAGTCGGAGTTGGGTACAAGTCTTCCTGCTCTTCTTTTTGCAGGTCTTTATTTATACTGTTTAGCAAGAGTTACAATAACACATCAGGTCAGTTAATAAGAAATCAGCCTAAAAGTTCTAAAGGAAGAGGGGAACAATGCGCCCTCCTCCGGACACTTGAGGGCCCACTGGACTGTACATCTCCGATGGCTTTCATGTATGCGGATGTGTAGCTATGGCTTCACAGGACCAGGGTCTGGGAGGGATGAGCTGTGAGCAGGGGACGTAGGAGTCCTGGGGAAGGAATAAACTGTGTTAGCAGAGTCGTCAGTGAGAGTCTAAAGAGCTAATGGCAGAGTAGCTAGTGTTTGTTTGAGGGAAAGGTTAGTTAAGACTAGCAGAGAGCAGTTAGTGATTGTTTTAGGAAAGGAGTAAATTGAGAGGAAGTCACAATGCATTAAGCAAAGCCCGTGTCAGTAATGTTAAGAAATTGCCCTGGGAGTTATCTCAGATTCGTTATTTGTTTCAAAAGACCAAGGAAGCTTCCAGGAGTCTTGCTGCTCGGGGTCTTCTCTCTCCAGGAGCTTGCCTTTTGTCTTCAAAGGAATTTCCTGCCCTGGAGCAGCTCAGCTGTACTTT